AGAAGAGGAGGCTCAGGGGAGACCTTCTCACTCTCTACAACTACCTGAAAGGAGGTTGTAGTCAGGTGGGGGTTGGGCTGTTTTCCTGGGCAACTAGCAATAGGACAAGAGGGCACAGACTTAAGCTGTGCTAGGAGAGGGTTAGGTTGGATATTAGGAAGAGGTTTTTTATGGAGAAAGGAATCAGGCATTGGAATGGGCTGCCTGGGGAGGTGGTGGATTCACCATCCCTGGAGGTTTTCAAGATGAGACTGGATGTGGCACTTAGTGCCATGGTCTAGTAATGACGGTAGGGTTGGACTCAATGATCTTTGAGGTCTCTTCCAACCCGGCTGATTCTATGATTCTACTACTACAAGGAACTTCAGAAAATGGCGTTCACTGGCATTAATGATCACCTCTATCTCACTATTAAAAGGATAACTAACAGATTACTGTGGCATGGGGTGGGGTTGGGTGGTAGGTACTGACATGTGTGCTTCTTCATTAAAGCTGACTTTATATTAGTAGAGTAGCTACAGGAGATCTTCACCTAGCTCAACATACACATTGGCTTGAGAGGGCTGAGAGCATTAGAGGACTTTTTTGTCATCTAGGGGTGGCACAGGGTGGCTGCCAGGCAACGCAGCAGCTGCATTTGAGGGTGGGCCCTGGGCAGTGCTGGAAGCCAGGAAAGCATGGCAGAGCTGGGTCTAATGGCTGCAGCTATTTTGTGACTGCAGGACAGAAGTGGAACAGCTGTCATGCAGCTGAATCTTTTTGTCTATGTGAAGTAAACTGGGAATTTCTGAATAGCTCAAGATGGATTAGCCAAAAGCACTGTAACCCATCCCCTCTCAATGAGAGATTTTCCAATGCATGAAAAAAACCCCCAAACAATCCAGCCTGCACCCTGCTCTTGCCATACATCCTTCTGTATGTGCTCCCCAAAGCATGTTCAAATACCCACTCACTCTGGAGGAAAGTATTTAAATATTTATTAAAATACTATTAAGCAGTTACAGGATGGTTTCATCTTTCTGAAGGCCATACAAATACTCATGAAAGCCTCACAACATCCCTGTGAGGTAGGTTTGTCTTGTGTAATTATGTGACAGTTTCATAAATCAAAGAGGATGCTGTTTAAACAATCAGTGCTTATTTGAAGACAGTGACTTTGATTTCCCTGTTTAGACACAAAACGTGTCGGGTGCTGCCATGCGTTTCCAGCACATCTAAAAAGACAGAATACCACAGAAAAGTAATGAAAACAATCAGATGTAACTAAAACCCAGCAGTGAACGGGTTAAAGTGCAGCTCTAACCTGAAAACTTACAGTACAGAAAACAGCATCAGGGGCTTCTAAGGCTGTAGGATCTCAGTGGCCCCTGGTAAGATCCTGCTCAATTGAAAAGTCAACGGTCAGCTTTGCAAATGAGTGTGTAACAAACCAAGGGATCCTCCTGGCTGGTGGGACTCAACACCACTGACACACCCTGGTCCAGTGGTTCCCACAACAGGGAGGCAATGAGGGATCTTGCAGCTTCTGGCTGCCTGCAGGCTTATTGGAAATCATATCACTATCTGAAAAGATACAGCACAAAGGTCAAAAAGTGGTCTGGGCTGTAGAGCAGTCAGCTAGGCCAATGCAGAGACATGGAAGTCCCAGGCTCCCTTGTACCATGAATCTCAAAGCAGAAGCTGGAAAGCGTACAGGGAACTGCAGAGTTTGATTCCATTTGAAATGAAATATATTTCTTTGTTCAGTGGGTTCCAGCTTGCTCTCACTGCATGCAAGATCAGGACAGGTTTCTTTCAAAGGAGATGGCAGAAATATCTTCATACCCTCTATTTTGGTATGGATCTGTTAAAGTAATGGTGACTTATATTTGCTTTCATTTCCC